CCCTTCCCTGTGATGCCCTGTCTGCTTCACGCTCTTCCCAGCGGCCCACCTCTCAGCGGCCATCCTCTCCTGGCAGCGAAATGGTCACCCTGGAGGAGTTCTTGCATGAGAGTAACGCACTGTCCCCACCCACTGTAAGTTGTTTTAATACTAACAACGTTTTAGCACTTCTCAGCAGACTTGTTTGTTTGATGGTTTGACCTTTTGGGGAAGTCGTGGCCTAATGGTTAGAGAGTCGACTAGTAACCCAAAGGTTGCGGGTTTGAGTCTCATACCAGCAGGGATTGTAGGTGGGGGGAGTGAATGTACAGCGCTCTCTCCCACCTTCAATACCACGACTGAGGTGCTCTTGAGCAAGGCACCGAACCCCCAACTGCTCCCCGGGCGCCGCAGCATAAATGGCTGCCCACTGCTCCGGGTGTGTGTTCACGGTGTGTGTGTGTTCACTGCTGTGTGTGTGCACTTTGGATGGGTTAAATGCAGAGCACTAATTCCAAGTATGGGTCACCATACTTGGCCACATGTCACGTCACTTTTTTTTCGCTTTTTTGAAGAATTAATGACACATTACTAGAAGAATTTGCATACATTTGCAGGGGATTTTAAAATGTGTGGTGAATCTCACATCGTTCAATTATCCTGTATCTTTTTTAACATATCAAGATTATGTGTGCATATTTATGCAGTGAGAATAGCAAAAGGGATTTTTTAAAAATATTTAACTCATGATCCGTAGAGACATTTACGCTCCTAATTAAATTACACCTGATGTTTGACGCTGCACTATGGATTGTTGTTTGCTAATTGGGGATTATTAAGATAATGTCTTTGAGTGCTGTGTGAAATGTTCGTAATGGAGACACTGAGTGATGGACCTTCGCCATCATCTCTATCTTTTACCGAAATACAGTAGATTTCAATGTGTTTCTGTTGTAAGACATGGTGCAAATTATAAGAAATGCATGCAAAGGATTCCCATGGTTATGAACAAACCTCAAGTTTGACAAATCTGGAGGGAAATCATTTTAAAACAATTATTTCTAGCAATAAGGAATATTTGGGGGTCAGTGGAAAAAAAAATCATTATTTCTTTGAGTTGCCGAAGTATATAAAATATATCAATGTTTTAAAATAGTTTTTAACACCTTATTTTTTTTTTTTTAATATATACACATTATTATTTACTGTCATATTTAAGTCACAACATTAATTGCAGTTATTTAATTTAATTAACAATTCTTTGTTCAGTTAGTCCTTAGTTTTAACAGTGAGAATAAAATGTTTTTTTGTTTATTATAGGCATATATCTAACAATTTGTATCCCCACTGTTGGAATAAAGTATTATTAGTAGGGGTGTAACGGTACACACATTCGTACCGAACCGTTTCGGTACGGGTCTTTCGGTTCGGTACGCATGTGTACCGAAAAGGCTTCCTATAGTTTTAAGCATAAGCTGAGGTCGTTTTTTATCACTAAGAAAATTTAAACTATAACTGAATGCATTTAAAGAAAGGGTCCCCCCCGCTGTACCGAAAGCATACCGAACCATGACGTTAAAACCGAGGTACGTACCGAACCGTCATATTTGTGTACCGTTACACCCCTAATTATTAGTAATATAAAGTATTATGAAGCAGTATTTTCTAGTGCATTTTCATGGTCACACTTTATTTTAAGGTGTAATTCTCGCTATTAACAAACCATTAACTATGACTTTGCCTCAATAAACTCCTAATTTGCTGCTTATTAATAGTTAGTAAGGAAGTTGCTAAGTTTAGGTATTGGGTAGGATTAGGGATGTAGAATATGGTCATGCAGAATATGTGATTTATAATTAGCCACAATGTTAATAATAGGCATGCTAATAAGCAACTAGTTAATAGTGAGAATTGGTCCCTATACTAAAGTGTTACCATTTTCATAACATTTTAATTAAATGTTTGGCAATTTTTCCAATACTGAAATTGGGGCACAGTTAAAACCACATGCTTTTTGCAAAAATATTTATGATGATTTAAATGTCTTTCAGGTGCAGACAGGAAGTCGAGAGGATCTGATGACTGATTATTTCACCAGATCTACTCGACCTGTCCCTCTGCGAGATGGCGCTAAAACCCCCACCAATTATGTCACGCCAACCATCAAGACTACTCCACCAGAACTAGATGGTCGGGCCCCAAAACTTGGACACAGTGTCAAACCGAGCGTTCGGCTCACAGAGACCTCCACACCTCCTTCTCATTCGCAAACCCTTCCTAACAGAGGAGCAGGACTGAGGTCTGCACCTTTGCAGCAGTCCAGTCCTCGCGGAGGTGTGGGCAGCAGCACCAGCCTGAGTCGTACATTTAGCCTGGCCTCCGCAGACCTCCTCTGCTCCAACGGGCCGGACGCTTACCGTAACGAGGCAAATTCTCCCAGCCAAAACGAAGTGGTGATGAGGAGGTCTGGAGTAGTCAACAGAGAAAGACCGATGTCCGCTAGGCTGGCTGGTTCTTCGCCGCTGCCTGGAGACCCAGGGTACATATCCGTGGACCCCCGCCGTCTATCTCTCGCTCCACCGAGAGATGAGTTGTCCCTAGCTAGTCCGCCTCCAGTGCACTCTTCGTCTATGTCACTGCAGGCTGAACGGGAATACGTTGGGAGCGGTAGCAGCAGGGCAGGAGCGGTCCGTTCTGGACCTGCTCAAACCCGAGCAGCCCCACATCGTGGTGAGGTGGCCATGGTGTCTCCGGTGCGAGCCGTATCGGCGCTGAGGCTGAAGGATTTGGAGGAGGAACCTCGGGAGCAAAGGCAGGCAGAGTCGCCTGTGTTGAAGAAAGCAGACACTGCGGACTTAAGCTACGCCACCAAGGAGCAGCCCACCAGCAAGCCTGCTTCTCCAGACCCCAACAATGACCCTCAGACTGTTTGGTATGAGTACGGCTGTGTGTAGAACCTCAGACTTGGTTAAGAAACACGTATGAAACTGCACTGTTAACAAATAAAAGCCCCAGGCAGCTCTGGGAGACTGGTCATGTCCTTCCTCTCTAAGTTTCTCTAGGTGCTTCAAAGGCACCAGTTGCATTTGAAGGTCTTGCACATGTTCACACTGACCTGAAAACTAATGTATGGGGCACTTGAATGTATTTTCCCCCTTCGTATCCAATTGAATGCCATTGATTTCCGCAGCTCTCCGCAGCTCCATGGCAGGCCAGTTCACGTTCTATTCTGAATGTGGAAAACAAACGTTGGGCTGTGTGCTAGGAGCCACTCCCAGCGTAATTACTGAGTAGCGACTGCATCCATCTTTAGGAGGCGCAGGACAGTTGCAGGTCCATCACCGAGACAGCCTCATAGGGACCCATTACGGGAAGCGGCCTCTCTCTCATTCGCTCCCTGCTGACATACCAAACAATCTGCTCTTTTCTGCTTCTTGTGGGTGACCATGTATTCGCTGTAGGACCTGGGTTTGGCTCAGACTGCATTCAGAAGCACGCAACACTGAGCCAGAAAGAGAGACGGACAGAAGATCATTGGACATGAGAATAAGAAAGCACCTACCTTGTGATATAAGGTGGAAGAATGTATCGGGAATCGGTTTTGAGGGGGAATCTGGAGTGCTGGACATGTTGGCAAGTTTCACACAAGCATTTAATGTAGTACTAAAAAGAAATTGAAGTTTAGTTTGGTGTTTTTTTGTTGTCGTTTGTTTAGTTTTGTTTTTCCAACACATTCATTTTATAACACTGCACAACTGTTCTTTTATTGGTTTATTTATTAATGTCCTTGAGACAATTAATGACACTTGTTTGTGTGGTTGTTTTGAAGTGTGTGTATGCAAGTGTATGCCTCATTTTTCCAAAACTGCTTTTTTGTTTTGCGTAATTGATTGGTTAAGTCTGATGATGTTGAACACTGGGAGAACGTAGTCTGATTATAATTTTATTTTTCGTAAGAGAAGTATGTATGTAAAAAAGCCCATGGAATCCTGGAATCCCTCACTCATGTCACCAACCTAGCACCCCTTGTTCCTTGTCAGTGGTGCTTTTCTGCCATCTCGTGTCACCATCTCCAACTTCTGATGGTCAAAGGCAAGAGCTGATCACCAAAGGCAATGGTGTATCTTCATAGAAATATATTTGGATCAAGCATTCACACTGGGTGTGTGAATATAAGGAGAGCCTCCTGTTTGAATGTGCACAACTACTGGTTAAATGATTTTAGATAAACAGTTGTTTTTATACACTACTGCACATGAACATAGATCAGTGCCTGTAAGAGATTGTGTGTTTGATGTAAGGAGTAGATACTCTAACAACCTTTTACACTTAATGTTAAGTTTATTGTGAATGATAGAAGCCTGTTTAGAGAAAGCTGTTTTCCAAAACCTGAACTCTTTGTAATAAAGCTTTTTTTTAATAATCTCTGGAGTTGGTTTTAGTAAATTACACGAGTAAATTCATTTTTATGACATGCATAAAGTTTAAAACTGATTTTCTAGCTCTCGGAATAAATTAACATCAAAATTAAACATACAAAATCGTAAAACATTTTTTTTAATAATTATGCCAGAATGGTTAAAGGGGTTGCAGCATATCTTGAGATGCCGCTTGATCTCTCCAGCTAATTTGGCACCAAATGTTGAGTTATAGTTACTGATAAACTTATATTTCCCACAGATTTCAAGACAAAATACTTGTTTGGTCTTCTTTCAATAACTTCAACAACTCTTATTTCAGTAACAAGAGCTAAAGTTTGAACTTGACGAATGAAGCTACAAACTGAGAAAAGAGATGAGATTTAGCCTAGTTGTCCTGACATGTAAAGTGTCTAAGTTATGACTTGGTTGTCACAATGTTAAATTTTTTTGTAACAGGAAATCATGCAGTAACAGGGTTGGATCAAATATGGGATTCTCCCCCATATTTTTTCATGCTAGCTTAAATTTATGTTAAATAACAGTTTACCAAACATATCTAGTCTCACAAAAATAGGACACCAAAGTGTGAGTATTCGAGGAGTGCAACAGTTTGAAACGCGTCCTTTCCTTTGCGCTCGGTCCAAACGCTGTGAACAATTTCACTGAAGAAACCTTAAATGTTTACTTATGCATACATCACATACATAATTACCCTTATTCCCAACAGGTAGATAAACAATGAGTCTATTATGCGACGGAGCTGCCTACCTAGACAGCACTTCGGACATTAGGCTACAGTTGCGTTCTATGGTTCATCTGACTCTGAACGCAGCTGTAATGGCCAGGCATGCTGTCTGTGCAGGCAGGTCACTATAGGATATGAGACGCATCCTGTGTCTGTGGAAGGCACTTGAAATGAGTGTATGAGTAATTGCGCGCATCACGTAAAAACTGTTGACGCAATTAAAATTTTCCCCCTTTCCGACGCGACAACCCCGGAACCCGGGAGTGATGTTATTTCTGAAAAAAAAAAAAAAAAAAATCACCCCCACGAGTAAACGAATAGAAACAGGCAAAACTCAATAAAAGAGTCGGTGGAGCGGTTGAGCTTGAGAATGTTTATCACGCTTCAGAAATGCCTCGAATGAGTCGCGTGGGATTAAAACCAGCAATCTTAAGGTAATGTACTTTCATTAAGTCTGATATACTCTCCTATTCCTTAAAAACATATAGTACATTAGTTGTTGCTACAGTAAACTGAGTAGCTACGTAGTAGGCTATTATGTTCTACTGTCAATAAAAAATCAAATGAAAAAGCAGGAGACAGGAATGCAATGAACATTTCTAATAGGCTACGTTTAAAATCAGTTATAACGAAACTTATAATCATTGTGGTATTTTGCCAAAATATGGTTACCATGCTATTCGTGTAGTAAACTAGGCAATTAAATGATGCTGATTAATATTTTACAGCTTTCCAACAGCTATTTGTGAAGCACTTTTACAATAATTATAGCGTATCAGCCAGACCATTTCTTAAGTACGTACTACAAGTGAGAATCTACAAATTGCACTTCTGTCCAACATCTGTGAAATTATTCAGACACATTTATTAAGCTGTGCTACCAATGACTGTTACAATTTTATAATGTGATCATAGGCTACCTACTCCAAATGGTGTAATGAATTGCGCACAATAGAGCAATACTACATTAATAATAAAAACGAATATTACCGACTAATACTAGTTTTTTCTGTATTACAACACGTTTTACGTGTCAAACTTTTGTCAAAATGCAACCGGTGGGATTACAGTAGGCTACGTGGCTTTAATAGGTTTCATGTCGAAATTAAGCGTGCCAGCTAGAGAGAGGCACGTTCAAGCACAAGTTCGACCACATTTGCGGTCAGAGAAGCGTTATTAGGTTTATGTTATATGGCAATCAGTCCCTAATAATCGACCTGAATTAGGCTAAACATGCTCAGCAGTTTTTTTCCCCCTTTGTTTTGTTTCATAATTTCATTTATGCAAGAATTGGGTGGCAGAAAATCTAATCTAGAACTTTTCTATTTCTGCTGTGTAACAATAAAAGTGTGTGTGTGTGTGTGTGTGTGTGTGTAGATAGATATAGATTTGACTTTGAATTCTGATTGGATAAGATGGTTTGAAGCAGAGATTCACATCTCATTACATTATTCTGACCAAACCATTTTTGGTTCTGAACAGGAAGTGAACTGCTTGTGTTATCATATACAGTATAGGACTTCATCAAAGTTTCATAGAGGAAAACGTCTCAGGTTACTTATGTAACCATGGTTCCCTGAGTAGGGAACGAGACACTGCGTCCTCTAGGGGTCGCTATGGGGGAACGCCTCGTCGTGACCCGTGTCTGAAGCATACATTGAAAAAACACCAACTCGTTGGCCGGTGACAGCCATGACGTCACTACCGGTGCGACTATAGTATAAATAGGCGCCGGGAGCACACATCATTCACTTCTTCGTCTGAAGCTTGCGTCTGCAGCATGGCAAGAAACCTAGACCGAAGCCTCTAGACCGGACCATCAGAAAGATGGTCACTATGAAGCCATAGAACCAACCAAACCTAATAGGTCCAGCATAGGAGACTATAATGC